TAATCACTAACTGAAAGCAAACCATATATCTACATATATTGAAATATTACTAGTTTTTTGTACAATTCTATTAACCAATGAGAATAGTGTGTCAAAAAATATAAATTAGGCTGAAAAGTTAAGAATTAATGACAGTGCACTTAATAATAAATTATATTGGAAGAAGAAGGGAAAAGAAAACAGAAAGAAAGATAAAAGAGAAGGGAATGGAGGTAAGAAAGAAGAAAAGAGGTATCAAGAAAAATCCAATAACTGAAAAAATACATAAAATCAGAACAATGAAAAAACAAAGAAGGATGACACAATAAAAAACATCACAGTAAATATTTAATGCAACAATAATCAATTTTGTTTTCTCTTTGCTGCAGTATTTAAATTGTAAACACTTCTTTCTGGGGCTTCAATTTAGAGTCTCCCAGCTATGAGGAAGTTTGTGGGACACAATATTCATACTTTTCATTCTCATCTCTGACCCAAAAGAAGCAAACTTGGTAGGGAATTCTGTATGTTGAGTTTTGCTCTTTCTTCCCTGCCTGCAACTGTTGAAGAAGCACTATCCATTTCAGAGCAAATTTCACCCTTAATATCACTATGATTTTATATCTGGAGATAAGGGTGTACCTTTAGTAGGAGACGGTGGCCAGTCCTCTCACCCAGGTAGCCTAAAAGCTGATTCATATTACACCACACCTCTCATTCTAAAAGCCTCAGTTCATGTGCTGGAGGGAGGTCAGTGAGAAATGTTCAAGTTTTATCAGCAGATCTCCCAGACATTTCTGGAAATGGAGGACATGGCCAGTCCAACAGTCAGATGCTGCAGGTAGCAGCTTTTCACCCAACCCAGACCTGAATCATTTCTAATTCCTGTCAGCCTTGCTCCTTATCACAGGCTTCATATTATTCAGACCAATTTCAAATGAAAGCTCCTTCTACTTTTCTATGTCCTAAAAATCTGCAGATCAGCAGCTGAACTTCCATTGGTGCCCAGAGCTTCCCTCAATCTTGTGCAAGTCTCACTCTTGAGCTCCAAATGACTGATGAGTTTGTGTCCACCAATCCAATGAGAAGCAGAGCATAATGGTTGTTGGATCTTGAGTACACAAAAAGAAAGAAAACAAAGAACAAGAAAAAAATAGACAAAGGAAGCAAAAAGAAAACTTCCTTTGCAGAAAGTTTAAAACAATTTTCCTTTTTAAGTTGGTGACACTTTCCCTACTTTCACTAAATCCATTGGGAAGTGCTAGGATCTCTTCCAAGCTAGGTCACTTTGCAGTATCTCAACTCCTTTTTCTGTTCAGATTGTGGGTCTGAGACACAAGAGAGCCTGCTTTCCTTAAGATAGTTGGAAAACCTTCTTTCAGCTTGTTGGAGGGGCATTTTTCCTCCCCAGTGAACTACTATATGTCCAATGTGAGTGCAGTGTACTTTTAAAATTTTTCTTCTCTTATTCTAAAAACCAATATTTTGGGATTTCACCTGATTGCTGGCTCTCTTGAGTTGCATTCTAGTGCTTTTCCACATCTTCCTACCTCAACAGGCAGCTGCAAAACTGCTGTTTTGATTCAGTGTGAGGGAACATCTACTATATTTACGGTGGATTCTTCTAGTTCACCATTTTCAATTTTCTTCTCAAAACTCCACTTCCAGCAATGGACAGATCACCCAGACACCAAATCAATAAAGAAGACCTGGACTTGAAATGCATTTTAAACCAAATGGACCTAATAGATATATATACAGAACATTCCAACCAAAAACACTGCTATCAAGTGGACATGAAACGTCTTCTGAATAGAACATACCATACGTTAGGTCATAAATCAAATTTTAATTAAAAAGTTTGGTTTGAGATGGATTTTACTATGTTGCCCACGCTTGTTTCAAACTCCTGGGATCAAATGATACTCCCACCTCAGCCTCCCAAGTGCTAGAACTACAATTGTGTGCCACCATGTTGAATAAGTCTTAGTAATTTTAAGAGGATTAAAATTAAAACATAAATATTTCCTAACCACAATGATATGAAACTAGATATCAATAATGAAAGAAAAACTAAAAAATCCACAAATGTGGAACTTAAACACTACTCTCCTGAATAATGATTCAAAAGAAATTTCAAAGGAAAATTTTTTAAAATCTTCAAACAAAAATGAAAATACAATATACCAAAACTAATGAAATATAGAAAAAGTAGTACTAAGAGAAAAGCTTTAGTAAAATAAAAGCTTACATAAAAAAGAAAAAAAGATCTCAGATAAATCATCATTTTAACTCAAATAATTAAAAAAAAAAACTAAGCCCAAAGTCATAAAAGGAAGAAAATAAAAGATCAGCACAGAAATAAATGATATAGAGATTCTTTTGTTWAAAAAAAAGACAAACAAAATTAATAAAACTTAACCAGGAAAAAGAAGACTCAAATATCATCAAAAAAGAAAGAGGAAACACTATAACKGTTACCACAAAAATACCTAGGATCCTAAAAGACTACTATGAATAATTATATACCTAAAAGTTGGGTAATCTGAAAGGAATGAATAATCTCTATACACCTACTATAATTGAATCATGTAGAAGTAGAATATTTGAAGAGACCGATTAATGAGTAAGAAAATCTTCCATCAAAGAAATGTTAGGACATAATAATTTCACAGACTAATTTTACTCAAATTTTAAAGAACAAATATAATCCYTTTTTTGCCTTTTTCAATGCTTTATTCACTCAAAATCATTCAATACAATTCACTCTATAGGTTCTTAATCAAGGAATGACAATCCTTAATGATGGGCATTACAATAGACAAAATACTGAAGAGGTGGGAGTACTTCCAAATTATGAGTCTTATCCTGATATGAAAACCAGAGAAGTTCATTACAAAAAGAGAATACTATTTTACAGTATTTTACTAAATTACAAGCCAATATCCCTGGTGAACACAAATGCAAAAATACTATCAAACAGCATAGAAGTGAAGCAAAATGAGTTATCAAACTACAAAAAGACATGGAAGAACTTTAAATGTATATTATGAAGTAAAAGAAAGACTATAAATATAATTGCAAACATGCTACCTTCTTGAAAATTTAATAAAAAGATTAGGGGTTGCCAGAGACTCAAGTGAATGGAGAGAGAGATGAAAAGATAGGTAGAAAACAGGGGATTTTAGGGCACTGAAACCATTCTGTGTGAAACTATAATGGTGGATATATTTCAATATGTTTATCAAAACCTAGAGAACTCTCCAACACAGAAAAGTATCCTATGTAAGCTATGGACTTAATTAACAATAATATATTAAAATCACTTCATTGATCATAACAAATGTATCACGCTTACGCAAAATATTAGGAGAGAGAACTTTGTGCAAAGAAAATGGGTTAATGGGAACTCAGTACTTTCTGCTCAATTTTTCTACAAATATAAAATATAAAACTTCTCTAAAATTGTCTATTAATATTAAACAAAACAACACAAAGATAAAACTGTGGTCTGAAAATTAAAAAACAATACAGCACAATGCTGATAGAATATAGAAATGGGAAGGGACAGAGGGACTAAATTTTGGCCAAAGATGATAAAAGAAGGTTAAAAAAAAGAAAAGAAAGAAAGAAAATGAGAGTAAACAAGTGAAACATAACAACATTGAAAGAAACTAGATTTATTCTGCTTTATCCCAGAGGTTGAAGCAACTGCCATAGGAAAACATACTTAGAAATTTTAAAAAGGGTCTTTACCATATTTTTCAATGTAACCTTGTCCTCTGCTTCCCTCAAAAACCAYGGAGAAAAAATTTATACCATATTTGATCCTTTAAAATTTGACTTTATGGTTGGAAGATGTGTTTGAATACCCTATAAATGGGCACAGAGACTTCTGCATTCTTCCATGATATAGTATTAGGGACCAGAATTACCCTTCCAACTTAAACCACAAAATCCTAGACAAAAAATATATTTAAAATGAAACATAGAATTCAGAAACTGGAAAACAATAAATACAGAAAAACAAAGGGCCCTAATAACTTACTAACTGGAATTTCCAGGCCACAGTATAAGAGTAAGTCAAACAGAGCCTACTGGTCTCCTTGAATGTAAGAGTCAAAGTTCAGTAGTTGTGGAGTTCAAGTTAGCTAAAATTCATGGGGCACACTATTAGAGGGAAAAGTCAATCAAATAGATTGAGAATAAGCTTCAAGAGCTCAGAGAACACTAAAGATGTGCAATGGATTACTTTTGATGCAGAGGGAGGTGTTTGTTATCCATTCTAAAGTTCTAGATACCTTCCTACACACACACACACACACACACACACACACACACAGATACCCAAAACGTTCAGAGTTCTCTTGGATCAAAATTCTCCATAAAAAGTGGGAATACTAAAGAATGTGTAGATTTCTTTATTTAAACACAGCAATACTCGGGTTTAAAGGTAATGCTGAAAAATGAAAAATTACCAGCAATTTCTTCCAACTAATTTTATTTCTACTTCTAAATTATATTCCATGAGGTATATTACATTATTGTTTCAAAATTCTCTTCAGTATTAATACATAAACAAAATAATTTCTCCTTTCTCTTGATAATAGTCATGAATTTCATACATGTTCTGGCTACTATCTTCATGAACTGACAAGTTCTCAGTGGCAAAGAATTAGTATRTTTGAGATGATATATAATTCCTAATATTGAAATCTATAAACCATGTCTTAAATTTATCACTGTACCAACTTAAAGGCCTGCTGACTCTTCAGTGGCATGTTATAACCACAATCAAAACCTCCATTCCAAGAATCTGCATGGCTCTCCTCAAAACTCAATCAATTTTGGTAATAGCAGCCTCATCTAAGAATTTCAATATGTCCTTGACAGCCAGCTCAATTATATGGCAGTTAACTTCAGGGAATCTGTGTTGTTACCCTAATAATTATTACTTTAAATTATAGAAATAAATGTATTTGAAAAGGCTATTAACACAATGATGCTTAATAGCAACTTACGTGTTTCGGTTTCAGAAGTATCTAAAACTTCTTCTACTGAGTGGGTTTTTATGAATTCTGAAAGAATTAAAAGTGTACCAGTCATTATAAATTTTAAATAGAAATCATATGTGCTAATTGACTTTAGATGTTATAGTTTTAACAATTTATACAAGGGAAAGAAAAAGTAATAACTGCCAACACTATGGATCCTTCCAATCAGGCAATAAATGGTAGTATATAAAAAATATGTAAAAATKTATTACAAATTCATCATTTTCTCATTAAAACTTTTTTCCCTCTCATATTCATTTCTATGAGTTGATAGTAACATCATTATCTAAACTCCCTTCCTTTCATATTTAATTACCAAGTTTTTCCTTATATCAACTAAATATTTCTCAAATTTGTCCCTTTCCTTCCCTTTTAGTAGTGTTCTAATGTAGGTATTTATCACACATCTAAGATACAATAAAAACTTCCCTTACTCCCAATCCCAAATCTAGCTCCTCCAATATGGCTAAATCATTTCTCTAAAATTAAATCAACAATGTCACTTCTCTGCCAAAAAAAATCTTCAATAAATTCCTATTACATATGAAAAAAGTCCAAGCACTTTAGCACAGTACATGATCCTTCTATGTCTAGGCCTTCTTCCCTACCTTAACCCTGTCTGTCACTTTATACCAATTCAGTTGTAATTCTTTATTCATGCTGTTTATTCAAACTATTGTTATTTCTTAAAACACCAAATATCTTCCTTTAAATTTTAATAAACTCTTCCTAATGCCTCAGGTTAAACAAATCCTTCCTTTTTTGTGGACTCACTGCAAATTACACATACTTTTTAATGCATTATTCTATATTAAAATGATGCATACCAGGTTTGTGTTCCTGTAAGATGTGATTTTTCATGCGGACAACAAAAAAATATATATACTATTCATTTAGTATTTTCCCAGAATCTAGAATATAAACTTGGACTGATATTCCAAACCCAGTATTGAATAGTTTTTAAATTTACTGTTGTAAGATTTTATAGCTCTCAATTTTTAATTGAAAATCTCAAAATGTTAGTATATCTAGGAAACCCTGTAAAGGCTGAAAATGTATAAAATATTTTTAGGAAACCCTATAAAAGCTAAACATGTAAAAAATATTATCACCTTCAATTTTCTGCTGTATGTTTTCACAACTTTCCACTGATATTAGTTGATTTTCTTTATTATCTCTGTTGAAGTTTCAACAAATAAAACATTTTAATATGTCAAAGAATAAGAGTTTAAATATATCCCATAAGAATTAGAATATACAGTCTAAACATAAGAAATTTGTAAAATAAAAGTGACATGTTCTTTAACCTTTGTTCAGTTATTAAGGTAAATTAGTAATAAGCATTTTAAAAGTATGAAACTGAAATTCTATAATTCTATAAGTTGTATATATTCCATTAATATAATTATTTCAACAATATAAATAACAAAAATAAATTGGGTAAAACATTAGGGTTTTTTTTGTAAAGGTGAATTAAGAGTACAAGTTTTGAAGTGAGACTATCTGCCCCAAACCTGTTTTACCTACTTAGTTATTATGTGACCTGGAGTAAAAACTTATTTTTTATCTAGTAAACTGTGGTATAATACCTTTATTATAAAATGGTTATGATGATCACATGAAATTATACATGTGGTTAGTAAAATATAGTATACACCTGTAAWACCAGCGGCTCAGGAGGCTGAGGAAGGCAAATGGTGAATTCAAAGCCAGCCTCAGCAACTCAGCAAGGCCCTAAAGAACTCAGTGAGACCCTGTTTCTAAATATTTTTAAAAGAGCTGAGTATGTGTCTCAGTGGTCAAGTGCCTCCGAGTTCAATATCCAGTAACACCCCCAAAATTAACATATACCAGATCATTAAATGTCAAGTACGTATATTAACATATAGACTGACACTAATGTCATGCCTAATAATAAATAACTCAAGTGAATATACCTGAGCCTCTAAACCAAGAGTCTAGTTTTGCAATTCTCATGGCAGCTAACCCAAAGTAATATTCTTTTCATTCCTTGTTAATTAATACAAAGAAACCAATAAAGTAATTGCATGATAAATAATGCCTTCTAATTATGCATTCTTATTTTAACAATTCAAAGTACAAAGGGTTTTAAGTATGCTTTCAACTGTTGTTTGAAAATTAACTTTTAAGTTGGCTGTATAATTTTTAATATTAACACAATGGTCTCTAGTTCTACCCATTTTTCTGTAAATTACATAATTTCATTTTTCCTTATGGCTAAATAAAACTCTATTCTGTATATATAGCACATTTTCTTTATCCATTCATCTACTGATGGACTCTTAGGCTGGTTCCATAGTTTGGCTATTGTGAATTGTGCTGTTTTAAACACCAGTAAATATGTATCACAGTAATATGATGACTTTAAGYATAAGTACCAAGCAGTGGTATAGCTGAGTCATATGGTCATTCCATTCCTAATCTTTTGAGAAACTTCCATACTAATTTCCATAGAGGCTGTACTAATTTACAATCCCACCAACAGTGTAATAGTGTTCTTTTTCTCCATATCCTCTGCAGAAATTTTTACTATTTGTACATTTTTGTGTGTGCAGAGGAAAAATACAGTAAAAGAACTTTTATGCTTTTTGAGTTAATTTTGTTTTTATTRGATATAACATTAGTATCCATCTTGACATATTATAAAAGCATGGAATATAATTTGCTGTAATTAGTCCCTGGTATTTCTCTCTCTCCCTTCCTCCCCCTATTCCTTTCCCCCTACTCCACTGATATTTGTATTACTTTAAGCTTTTTTTAAAAGTTAATGTCTTTTGGATACACCTGAGGGAAAGATTCACTGTGYTTTATTCATGTATGTACATAGAAACGTTAGGTCAGCTTCATTCTACTGTTCTTCTCTTATGTCATTCCTTCTCCCTCCTCCCTTAGTCCCCTTCATCTAGGCCACTGATCTTTCTTCTATTTTGATGGAATCTTCCCTTTTCCCTCCCTCCCTCTATTCCTTCCTTTATTTTTTCTATTTATTCCCCTTATTTTGGGCTAGCTTCTGAAAATCATAGAAAACATTCAACATTTGGCATTCTGAGTCTTATTAGCATAATAGTCTTCATTTCCATCCATTTACTAGCAAATGCCATAATTTCATTCTTTTTAATGACTAACATTCTCTTTTCTCTTTCTCTTTGTGTGTGTGTGTGTGTGTGTGTGTGTGTGTAACATTTTCTTTATCCATTCATTTGTTGAAGGACACTTGATTGGTTCCATAGTTTTGCTATTGTGAATTGTGCTGCTATAGACATTGATATGGCTGCATCCCTATGGTATGACTCCTTGGTATATATCTTTTGGATAATATACCAAGGAGTGGAATAGATGGATCATATGATAGTACATTTCTATTTTTTTGAGAAATTTTCATACTGCTTTCTAGAGTGGTTGCACTAATTTGAAGCCCCAGCAACAATGTATGAGTGTACATTTCCCTCCACATCCTTGCCAATATATTCTTGATAATTGCCATTCTGATTAGAGTGAGATGAAATTTCAATGTAGTTTTGATTTGCATTTCCCCAAGTGATGGAGATATTGAACATTTCTTCATCTATTTTTCTAACCAATTGTATTCCTTCTTTTAAGAAGTGTCTATTTATGGGCTGAGATTTTGGCTCAGTGTCAGAGCACTTGCCTCCCATGTATGGGGCACGGGGTTCGATTCTCAGCACCACATAAAAATAAATAAAATAAAGGTATTGTGTCCATCTACAACTAAAAAAATATTTTAAAAAAGAAGTGTTTTTTTCTTTTGAYTATTTTTCAATCAGGTTATTTGGGGGTTTGATGTCAGATTTTTGAGTTCTTTATATACTCTGGATATTAATGATGCCCTATCCTAGGAGAAGGTCGCAAAAATTTTCTCCCATTCTGTAGTCTGTTTCCCCATGCTTTTGTTTCCTTTGCTATACAGAAGCTTTTCAATTTGATGTCATGCCATTTATTGATTTTTTGTTTTCTTGCAATTTAGAAGTTGGCGCCTATGCCAACATGTTGGAGTGTTGGGCCTACATTTTAATCTAGCATTTGCAGAGCTTCTGGTCTAATTTCTGAGTCTTCAATCCATTTTCAGTTGACTTTTGTGTAGGATGAGAGGCCATGTTTCATTATTCTACATAAGGATTTCAAGTTTTTTCCAGCATCAATCATTGAAAATGCTGTCTTTTCTCCCACAAGTGTTTTTGATAATTTATGGAGGTTTATCTCTGTATTTATTCCTTCTATTCCTGTGTTCTTCATGTTGGTTTTGGTGCTAGTACCATGCTGTTTTAGTTACTGTACCTCTGTAGTATATTTTTGAGATCTGGAATTGCAATGCCTCCAACATCATTTTTTTTTYCCTTATAATTGCTTTGGCTATCCTGGGTCTCTTACTTTTCCAAATGAATTTTTAAATTAATTTTTCTAGTTCTGTGAATAATGTCATTGGTATTTTGATGGTAATTTCATTGAATCTGTATAATGCTTTTGATAATGTGGCCATTTTAATAATATTAATTCTGCCTATCCAAGAACATGGGAGAATTTTCCATCTTCTGAGGCCTTCTTCAATTTCATTTTTAAGTGTTCTATATTTTTAATCACAGAGATCCTTGACATCCTTTGTAAAATTTATTTCCAAGTATTTTCTGAGGTTGTCATGAATGAATAGTTTTAATTTCTTTTTCAGCACATTATTGCAAAATATGAAAGTGATCGATTTATGTATGTTGATCTTGTATCCTGCTATTTTACTAAATTTGTTTATCAGCTCTAGAAGTCTAATGGTGGAATTTGGGGGGGTCTTCTAAATAAAGGATCATGTCATCAGCAAATAGATAATTTGAGCTCTTCCTTTACAATTCATACCCTTTTAATTTCCTTCTCTTGCTGATTGATCTAGAGTCTCAAGACAGATACTGAATGGGACTGGTTAGAGAGTACTGTATTGTCTTCTTCCTTTTTTAGAGGAAATGCTTTTAGTTTTTATCCATTCAGTATATTTTTGGCTTTGGGTTAGTCACATATGGTCTTTACAATGTTGAGGTAATTTCTATTTCTAGTTTCTCTAGGGTCTTAAAAATAAATGTGTGTTGCATTTTGTCAAATATTTTTAATGTATCTATTGAAATAATCATGTGGTTTTTGTCCTTAAAGTCTATTTATGTGGTTAATTACACTTATTGGTGTCAGGTTTTTTAGTTCTATGTATACTCACCCAATTTTTTCTGCTATCCATTCGTCATTCAAAAGTGAATTATTTAGTCTCCAGGTGCTAGAGTGGTTTCATTTCTTTATTTGCATATGCTGAACTATCCATGCATCTTTGGAATAAAATCCACTTGATTATTGTGCACTATCTTTTCAATGTGTTCTTGTATATGGTGTGCCAATGTTTTATTAAGAATTTTTGAATCTGTATTCATCAAGAATATGAGCCTGAAGTTTTTTTTTTTCTTTGAGGTATCTTTGTCTAGTTTTCATATCAGGGTGATACTGATTTCATAGAATTAATTTTTCAATGATCCCTTCTTTTCTATTTCATGAATATTTGAGGAGGGTCAGTTCTTCTTTAAAGGTTTGGTAGCACTTGACTAAGAATCCATCCAGTCCTGGACTTTTCTTTGTCGAAAGRCTTTTGATAGCTGCTTCAGTTTCATTACTTGATATTGATCTTTTTAGGTTTTCTATATCCTCATAGTAAACTTGGGTAGGTCATATGTTTCATGAATTTGTCAATATCTTCAAGGTTTTCTAGCTTATTGGAGTATAAATTTTCAAAATAGTCTCTGATAATACTCTGAATTTCAGTAGTGTCTGGAGTGATATTTTATTTTTCATCTCTAATTTTGAATATTCTCTCTTTAATTTAGTTMATTTAGCAAGGGGTTTACCATTCTTACAAATCCTTTTWAAAATTCTTTGTTTCATTGATCTTTTGTATATTTTCATTCTTTATTTCATTGATTTTGGCTCTACTTATTATTTCCTTTTTTTCTGCTGACTTTGGTGTTGGTTTTTTCTTCTTTTTCTGGGTCTTTGAGGTATAATGTAATAGAATTTATTTGGTACCTTTCTAATTTTTTAATATATGAACTCAGTGCTACAGACTTTCCTCTTAAAACTGCTTTCAAATTGTCATATTTTGATATGTTGTATCAC